TTCTGATAAAGTGAAGCCAATATTTAAACTTTCTTATGAAAGATATTGTAATGTGGAAAATACTCCATCATTAAAATTTTGTTGAGTATGAAAAGCATAAAAAAATTTAAATGAAAAAGGCAATTTAAAGATGCATTCAACTGCGGATATACAAATTTAAAGAATTAAAGGAAAGAAAGATTTGCAAGTGCTTTTAAAATAAAATAAAAGAACTGGAAAAGTCATTAAATAATTCGTCTGTATTCATTGGAATAGCCAACGAGGAATCCAATAACTCAAGAATTTTAATGGCTTCGAAATAAATAATCAAATAGCATGTATGCTGTAAAAGACAAAAAAATGCTGCCCTTATTTGTTTCTAAATTGTTTTTCTTCTAACTATAATTTTAGAAAAGTTCAAAAGATTAATGAGAATTTCTAAAGAATTAGATAAACTAAATAGTGCGGAAAAAACATAATAAGCTAATGATCGTATATTATTAAACTAGCATCATATCTTTATGGTTGAAGGGGACAATCTGAACTATGATATTTAAAAGGAGCATACTATATTTTAAGTTGCGAACCAGATTCAAAAACGAAACAAATATTTTCCCTCAAAAGATGACCACAATCTGGAAAATATGGTCTCAATTCTTAAAGTGGCCGGAAGTTTGGTCGTCTAAATTTACCTTTTGAGTGTTTCACCATATTTATAAAATTATTTAGGCAAATCAAAAAATCCTTGAGTGAAATTGTAAAATTCGCTCATCTTAAAAACATTTTTGCAAAATCTTATTCTTTAAATTTATTTATTTTAATGCTGATGTTTAGGATAAAATATTTAAAATTGTATTAGTATACAACTTTTTAAATTATTTCAAACTATATAATTTTAAATGAACAAACCCAAAGTTTGAGCAAAATCGTTCAACTAGATATTGAGAAATCAAAATTTTGAAAAGACGACTACCTTAAACTATTTGACTAAATTTTTCTCGAAATTTTTGATATTTTCAAATGAATGCATTTACTTTAAAATGATATTAATGAAGCTATTCTCATTATTAAAATAAATAATAAAAAACTATGAATGACATTAAAATAATTAAGTTACTAACTCATAATCAAAATAAATAATAAAAAACAATAAATGACATTAAAATAATTAAAATTTGCAACAAAAGAATTATTCTTCGATGAACTATGTAGTTTTATAGTCTTGTACAAAATGTTTCAGATGCGTTTAAATAGTTCCATAATTTTGTACAAAAACTTTCAGATTGACTTTAATAGATCCATAATTTTGAGCAAAAATATTCGCTTAAATAGTTTCATAACTTTGACCAAAAAGTTTTGGATTCATTTAAACAGCCTCATAATTTTTAGCAAAAAGATTGGCTTAAGTAGTTCCAGAAATACGATAAAAAAAAGTTTACATTAAGTTATACATTACAATAAATTTATATTAAGGTTACATTAAAATAAATTTACATTAAAGTAAAATTTTCATTAAGGGTGTGATATTTTGAGAGGGCGACAACCCCACAGAATCCAAAAGAAATGTTTGTTCAGACAAAGTACTTAATTAGCATATTTGAGTACCACCTCAAGAACGCTTATTACGTCCATTCATTTGAACAAAAGTTATTCAGATGCACATCGGTATCAAGACTCGGATCGGGGAAATGCTTATTGTCCCAGAAATTAATAACTTTTAATGAATGTATTTAACATTAAATTCCAGAATATCAATGCTTATACTATCCCTTAAAAAATTTAAGGTGTTTTTGAGGTGTTGATTTAAAGTTTATTGGAAGTTGAGTTCAAACAGAACCTTAAGAAATTACCTCCCAAGGCTTAAGACAAATGAAGTTATTTTATTAGCACTTGAGGTTTTTTAGGATTGATAGAAATCTACCTTAGAGCAACCAGTTTATAGAGGTTGTTTTTGAGGTATGTATGTTATTTTATCTACATTTCAAGGTGAATAATTTTACCTGATCATTAAAGTATTGTTGAGCTATATATGAGGTTGATTTTAGTAGTTGCAGATGAGGTTGAAATTATTATTGAGGATTATGTTATTGAGGTCTATTGATGAAGTTATTTTTTGGTGCAAAACATAACCTCACACCTGTCTACCTCAAAAACACCCTATTTTTTAATAATGAATAGGCATGCAAAATTGTTGGAAATTGTATAGTCATAGGATCCGTAATAGTTAGACTACAGACAGACCAGAACATTTGTTCAAAATAGAAGTACCCTCTACTAACATATGTTCAAGTAACCAAGCAAACACTATAAATTCAAGCCATCTTTTGAGGGACAAAAAAGAAGCTACCAAAATAAAGATTTCCAAATTGTATTGGAAAAACAATTGATGATCACAGAATTGTCCCATTTTTGCTATTTGTTGTTCATTTCTAATTGTCTAAAGATTAATTACCTATTATTATTCTTGCACCTTTGAGATGACTGTCATAATTATATGGATTAATTTCCAAATAATGCCATATATAACACACATATTCGCGCACTTTTTTTACCATGCTTTAAATACATTAAGCGTGAGACAAAACAATAAAAATCTAATTGATTGAACGGGATTTCAAATAAATGTTATTTCTTTCATTCTTAAGCCTTTCTTTAAAGACTGTGTTGCTATAACGATTTTTAGCGAATAACAAATGTTGTTGTCGGTTGAATAAATGGTATGACTCCCTTGACAGTAATACGCAATAAATTCTCATTCGAGGTTGAAAAATTGTTTTTATGTTAATCTAAGGACTTGGGAATACTTGATTTTGTTCACTAGATTTTCGAATTATCCGTTAACTTTTTGACATGAGTGTACACTGCGCAAAATAAAAAGGATATTATTTTAAGTAATTTTAGTTCTAATAATTGGGTTTTCCCGTACTAAGTGCCAATCTTAATGATTTAAAAGAGTGACCTCAAATACATTAATTAAATAGAGCAGACTATAAATTGAGTTACAAGGACAGACTCGGAAACTTACTTTCTGTGAATAAAAATTTTTTTTTTCAACTGAGTTTTGAACATCAAAATATCAGGGGTAGTCGCAATTTGAGAAATTATATTCCAATAGTTTGAACTCTATTAAATGTTAGTTTCAGATTTTGCACGGTTCATCCTCTAAAGAATATGGAAACCTTCATTTATTGAGAACTATTCAACCGACTTCGGTACATTAATGTCGAATTCAGTTTCTACATATTTAGTCATATCCCGTAAAGTTTTTAAGAAAATTGAAAAAATAAATTTTGCACACAATTATAAGATTCGTTTCTCCAAAGATATAACTATGTAAAAAATATTGTTTAATAATTATTTATTACTTTTTATTATTTTATTTGATAATTATAGAAAAAATATTGAATAGTAGGGTATAAAATATTTGACATAATTTTAAACTATGTATTTTTAAATGACAAAATTTGATCAAAATTGGGCAGACCAATCCGTTCAGTTGACCCTATTGTCAATTCCATGGTGGATCACGCGACATCTAGCGTTGTTTTCCAAGAAGTAACATTGGTTTAACCCATAAAACTGCTTACAGACAAATATAATGTAGTAAAAGCGTTGAACTTCTCACAAATTTAGAGCAACGATCTCAGTACATAGTCAGGGAAATACCCACACCATAATTACAAACCTATAGATTTGCAATGAAGATCTGTGTCCAAATACTTATTGTATATAATGTAAAACATCCATGAGTGCCCAAACAATTATTGTAGATAGTATGCAAGGCGCAAAATAGAACTCCTTTTTAACCTATTTAATAATCATGTACTAGGATTGAATTTTAATTATTTGTAGACCCAACCGTAAATCTACTAATTAGTTAGTGCAGATGATATTTTTAAGTTTCGAAATCACGCACAAAAACGTACTTTCTTTGTATAAATATAAATTAAAGACGGACCTTAAGAATATAGGGAGGGGGTAGCCGGAAAATATGGTGATAATACTTTAGGCCGGTTGAAATTTTGGACTCCTTCATGTTAGTTTCAGTTTTTGCATAATTCACCAACTCAAAGACATATTTAAACTTAATTCTAGCTATCCCATTCAAATTTTGCTTTTTTCATACAAAATTACTTATATTGGTGTTATATATCTTACAATTTAAAAAAATTTTGCTTTATTAATATACTAAATAATTATTTAAAACACAGAATTAATTTTGAAAAAACAAGTGTTGTAATTTTAAGGATTTTTTTTTCTTCAGAAAGAGTAAAATGCAAAAATCATTGGGGGCCCAAATTTACGACAGCCCTCCTGTCCAAACTATTGGGATCATATTTGGTAACTATTCCCTATGTTTTGTGATTACTAACAAATCAAAAGCGCTTCAGTACTGCATCCGCTATAAAACAAAACCTTTTATTTACGCTTTTACCTCAATTTGCGCTTCTGTTTTCATATTTTGCTATTTGGTAATCTTATTACTAAAAGTTTTACTACTCGCTTTTTAGATTTCGCTTTATGTTTTGTTCTGTTTTCACTCTACATTTCATTTTCTGTTTTTTACGTGATGTTTAAAACTTAATGTGTTCTATTCTATTTTGCTTCAGAAAAATTTTTAAGTACTCCTCACACTATTCTATTGATATATTTTGCTTTGGCTATATTGTTACAATATTAGAAAGCACTTCATTTTGTGGATATAATCGTACAAGCTGATGAAAAGATTATAGCTTTTTTTCCGGATTGTTATTAATTTTTTTTAAAAATAATTTTCTTCTTCTCTTTTTTCATTATTCTGTAATTTTTTCCATATTTTCTCTACATTTTGAAACTTTAAGAGTTCTATACACTTCTAGCTTGTGCGCAGTAAATGGAACTTATTGATTTTCTTCGTTTTTCTCTTTTTTCTTTTTCTCCTTTTTGTATTTATTTATTGTGCTATATATGTAGTAAATATTGTCTCTCTCCTCTAGTAATGTATTGTATGAATGAAAATTTTGCATGTCTTATTTTTTTAGCTGATTGTAGTTTCCTTTTGGCCAACGCTCAGATTGTTGACTTCCCAATCGTTTACTGTTCCGAGTCCTTCTGCAAAATATCCGGTTACAATCGAGCCGAGGTGATGCAGAAATCATGCCGATGCGCCTTTATGTATGGGGAACACACAGATAGAATGAGTATATCCAAAGTTGAACATAGCCTAGAAAACCATGACCAAATACAGGTGGAAATTCTCCTTTACAAAAAGAACAGTAAGTAAATATTTAACTTTCTTTAGATAAATATGAGTCCACTATCATCATTCATTATTGCTTTAGATTTATTTGCATTACATAAGGTCTGTTCAATCAGAAAGAAAGAGATAATGTATGATAATATATCTATATGAGAGATCAATAAGAAATAGCATCTGTATTTAATACGAAATAGTATCTGTACTTATGTTATTTTTGAGCATACATGAACACCACCGGTAGCAGAAATTGCAGCATAAATCTGCTGCACTAACTACTTAAATCCAAACTTGTCCACCACCAGAGATTTTTTTTTTTTGGTTAATGGCGAGCACTTGGGTCTATTTCCCATTGGTTTCAGAAATGCCAGAACTGCTACTCTCTCCTCGTCATCCAGTGAGCACCTATGGCTAAGCCACGGCGGTGGAGCAGCGTCGCCCACGTCACACAACCACAAACCCGTTTATAGGGCGGGTCACATTCACACAATCACACAGAAGAAAGGACATAGAACACAGAGAGAGAGAAAGAAACATCCATGTCCTGAGCGGGATTCGAACCCGCAGCCATCGGCTCCGCAGTCAGGCACGCTAACCACTCGGCCACCTGGTCGGCACCAGCAGAGATAATTATTAAAAAAAATTCAGTTTACTCTAACATACATGTCATAAAATTTGTGAACATAAGGTTCTTAAAAACTATACATAAAAATTTTATGTTTAAGTTTAATTTTATTGAAAGCCCCACTACCGCGATGAAGGGCTTTTGCTACCGGGTTTCCACCAAGTGAGAACTTTAGTAAATATTAATGAACAATTAAATAAGATGTTCAATGTGTAATAATAATTATAAATTTATGGATAAGATAAACAATAGCCAGCTTGTATTACAAAAGTGGAGTAAATGTGCTACTATGAATATCGTAAACAAAGCAGTTGATTCTTATGGTTTCTAAAAGAAGATTTTTCCCGGGATTGTGAAATTGTATTTTACAAATGAAATGTATCACTGAAACAATGAAATGTATCTATTGATTTTTTTAATTTATTAATATTATTAATATATTACTAACATATAGACAAGTTTTAGTCCATATGCCGGATCTTTATAAAATCTCTGTACTTTATCCTATATTAGGTTTAATATGTAAAAACATTGTTTCTGATATAAATAGTGTGTTATTATCTAATATAATTTAATTAAAATTAACTATTTTGAAAACCTTACTTTATGTATTTCGAAGATTCGGGTGATAGGCTTAACCTTATAAAAACAAATTAAAATGCATTTCTGAATACTAAATATCATCTTGTTACATAAGGGAACATTTAATAAAACTATATTACACACTTAATTACGTTTCACATATTTGCTGCGCGATGTTCTGTTTTTATAAACATTACAGAATAAGTTTCATTAAAATTTTTTTAAGACTCCTTTTTTATTTTTTGTGATATTTTAATTTTTGATTTACACAAAAAGGTTTCGTCTGAAAACCCTGGATTTTTAAAATCAACTATATTTTTTAGATTAACTTATAGCTGAATGAGAATGTAAATTATTTAGTTTTTAATATCAACAAATGGAAAAGGAAATTAGATTTTTTTTTTCATATCGCTTTTTGAAAATTTTCTTTTACAAAACAATTTTTCACCTTCTAGAAATATTTTTTAATTTTTATTATACATAAGTGTTTCTTAAGGAGGATATACTAGTCCGAGCTTTAGCACGAACGCAGCTGAATGAAATGCGCGAAATTCAAATCCTGAGTCCCTTATAAACTAAGAAGGGGAAGATCCTTCTATTAGGAAAAAAATATTTCATCCACTTTTCTTTGGGGGGGGGGGNTCTTGGGGGGGGGGGGAGGATAGATTTATAATATGTGATTCATTGTTGTTAGTTCAGGAAACAAATAAATTTTCAAAAAAATAAAAACTTGTATTATAGCTTCGTATCTTATTTTGTAAAACGTATTTCAGAAAGGAAGTTTTATTATACTATCCATATTTGATTTGTTTTTTATCAATTTTTTTTCGTGAGACATGCTCTGGAAAATCGAGTGTCTAATTTATTTACTTTTGAAGAAAAAAGAGTTTCATGAAAATTTTGCAGCTCCAGTTACTTTTCTTTTAAAATCTTAAAATATTTCTCTGTATTTTAATCAAGATATATGTTAATTTTTAGGGTCTCCATTATGGTTACTTTTACACGTAGCACCCATAAAGAACGAGAAGGATATAGTTGTTCTATTCCTTCTCATCTTTCGAGACATAACCGCCTTGAAGCAGCCCTTGGAAGACGATGCATCCAAAGGTAAGTGATATTTCGAAAAAAAGAACACTACTATGTATCTTGGGAGTCTACGTGAATATTAATTTTAAAAATAACCAGAATAGTTATCAACCCTATATGAAAATAAAATAACTATAAGGACTATATAATTTCTTCTCTTTTAGGGCTGAGCAAGTTCGCGCGACTAGCGAGGTCCGTGACGAGAAGTCGATCCGTTCTTGTTCAACAATTTTCGATGCATCTGCCCATCAAAACAGAAAACACAAAACAATCACAAATCGCTCATGTAAGTATTTAAATTATTATTAAGTGAATTTTTTTTATTATTATTTAGTAGTCTATAACATAGCAACAAAATTAAATTATCATTAGGTGAAATTCAGTTTTTAATACTATCTATTAAACTACAAAAAAGCAACTATCATGAAATGAAATTTGGTTTTTTAATACTATTTATTAGACTTTTAAAAAGCAAAAACCTTTAACTATTATAAAGTCAAAATTCGTGAAATTTGGTTTTTAATACCATCTATTAAGCGATAAAAAAGCTACGAACTTAAATGATCATGAAGTGAGATTTGGGCTTTTAAAACTATCTATTAGGCTTTAAAATATCAACAAACTTATAGTACCATAAAGTAGAAATAAGGGGAATTTTATTTTTCAATACTATCTATTGGGCTACAAAAAAAGCAGCGAACAAAGGATATACCGGATATCAGGCCTAGCCAGTCGTATTTTCATACCCGGACTCTGTGAAAGAATTTCAGCATCCGGTCCCGGATAACCAGACATAGTTATCAATTCTTATTACCCGGTAATGTGTCCTCGCCAAATTTAGCGAGTACTTAGTATAGGGTACCACTCGCTTATGCTTGACGCTACCAATTATTTAGATTCAGAGTGAATCAGCTATTTATGGGATCAATAATAATTTTTGAAACCTACGTAATCCATTAGTTTTTTTAATTATTTAAGCTCAGCTTTGGCATGATAGATTTTACCCAGGTTAATTTTAAATAGATGGGCCTGCAAGCTGTCATGTTCAGTAATTATTCTAAGACAAACAACTCCTCGGCCCTGGGAAGGAGGGAAAGATGAGAACACTGCTGGCCATCAAGAAGGCTAGCCCAGGATTTTCCATCAGCTAAGTCCCTAAGAGCAGATATTGCTCTGTGTCTGAATTTGCTCTTAAGAAGCCGCCTTGCATTTCTAAGAGGAACTGAATGAAAAGGTGAATGCTATACTGAAGCCTCTCAAGCCAACATGTCAGCCCGTTCATTTCTGTAGATGCCACAATGGCTCGCAGCATGAGAATCGAAAAGACAGCAAGATTTTGTTCAGATGGTTCACCAATAGCTGTAATAGCCATAAGGATTGCAAACATTTCCCCATCAAATTTATCTGCCCAAGTGTCAAAAGGTTCTCTAAGGCTGAAATATTTGGAGTAAGCACCGGCTCCAACTCTACCAGTTGAAAAAGTGGCGGATCCATCAATAAAAACCCGCAGACATTCCTGACAAGGGTATCTCTCGTGTATAGTGGCCAGAGCAATAGCATACAATTCAGTCTGGTGGAAGTCCGATTTCCAGATAGGCTGTACCAAGTCAAATCTGAACTGTTAAATATTTTTTTGAATGGTTAAAGACATAAACACCAAATGAATCAGCAATTCTACAGTTTTATTACAAAAAAAAACGTACATTAAAACTGACACTTGATTTATGATTTATTTATTTTTTAAATATGACTTCTTTTAGTGAGCCTAAGCAGATATGAGTAATATTAGCTATCTGTATCTTTTAATTACAATTTATCCAGAAAGCGTGTTTCTTTCTGGTTGGCTCAGTAAGTTTGTTTGGTTCGGGTTAGAATTTTCTTACCATCGGACTAACCGCAGAAAAAAAATTTGCACAAAGAGTGGCAAAAAAAATTTAAATACGAAAGAACAAAGGTGTTTTTAAACTCAAACCAATTATTATTGAGGTAAATATGAGAAAAAGAAGAATTAAAATTATCGAAAACCAGTTTAGTTGAAGATAAAGCTTTGTGTGGTTCTTAATGCAACGCGAATGTATTTCAGCCTCACTAAACAAATTGACTTTTGATTATTTTAATCCCACTTTTGTTCTTCCCGGCCTCCATACTGATTGCTCAAAGCTTGGATACGTTTTTTCTCTCATGAATATTTATTTTTGACCTATAATTCACATGGACCTAATGTACCGTTAAATTTAGGACCTTATACATGCCTGCCAACTTACGATTTTTACGAAAGATTTTTGCTAATGGTAACAAGCTGTATGCTTTTATGTATGATTCAGAATTTAAAAAAAAATTGATTCAAAATATTTATAATCACCACGAAATAAAGAACTTAAAAATACATAAGAATCCAGAAATTATGCGACACTCTCAGAAATACAACTCTCACTTTTGACGATTCAGCAAACTTTGAGCTGTATTTTATTAATTTTGAAAATCATTTCTCCGAGAAATCACGTGATTTGTGACAAAACGCAAGCTTTCAAATATATGACGAAAATATTTCCTTAACTTGAAACCTCATCGTAGTGAATTGTGTGAGATAAACTAGAATGTCGAAATCGGGATGAAGATTAAACAATCGAAAATAAAGTGACGAGATAAGGCTTGTAAGGTAATCAAAGTGTTGGCCTCGTACCAGGAAGATCTCGGGTTCGGATTCCGCTCCAGGCGTGGTTGTAATTTATCTCTCTGTTCTTTTTGGAAAGAAAAAAAAAAGAAGAATTAATTCTTAATTTTGACGAAATTCGTTTCCACTTCCCTTTGATGAAATTTTTGCTTGGTACACATAGCGGGAAACGGTTTCGTCAAATACAAAGAAAATTTCCGGATATTTAAGTATCCATTTTTTTACAGAGTATTGATGAGATATCGATTAATTGATGCAATGAGATATATTGTTGTGAAGTGATGACGATTTTTAAAATGAATTTTCGTGATGCCGAATTTTCTAAATTTCTTTATTACTTTATTTTTTAACTACCATTGTAAAAACTCCATAGTAAATACCGTAAAAGTTTTACTTTATTTGTGCCTAATTAATGTCTTTTTTTCAGATGATCAGTTTGAATTCGGAAGTCCTTCCCCAGTATCGTCAAGAAGCTCCCAAAACTCCTCCTCATATTTTGCTACATTATTGCGCCTTTAAAGCCATTTGGGATTGGGTTATTTTGTGCTTGACTTTTTACACGGCCATTATGGTCCCGTATAATGTGGCCTTCAAAAACAAAACTTCCGAAGATGTGTCCTTGTTAGTCTTGGATAGTATTGTTGATGTCATTTTTTTCATAGATATTGTACTTAATTTTCATACTACATTTGTTGGACCCGGCGGAGAAGTTGTTTCAGATCCTAAAATAATTAGGATGAATTACCTTAAAAGTTGGTTTATCATTGATCTTCTCTCCTGCCTACCTTATGATGTTTTTAATGCATTTGATCATGAAGAAGATGTAAGTATTTATTTATTTTTCTAAGGAATATCCTACTCTAAGTGATCGGAATAACTATACTTAACTTCAACAACTTTATTACAAATGTAGTTAACTACAATTTTATTTTAAATGTAGTGATTACAATACTTTTAGGAGACGAATTTTGCTGGTGGGTTCAATTTACTCTAATGCTCAAATTTTAAAAATGTTGAATATTGAAAGAAAAAGTTCATGATTTAGAATGACCCAATTTATTTTTTACGACTTTTTTCTTTCCTTCATGACTTTTTTACGCTTCAAATCTATATTTTTTGTTAAGTGTTTAAAGCATAAGTTAACTTATCTGAAAGAAATTAAGTAAAGTACATAAGAAGCATTCCTTTTGAGCTTGCTGAAGGACTTTTGTAAGATTAGCACTAATTAGATTCGAAAATTTAGTTGCAAACGCTACTAAGTTTTTTTTCTTGTATCACACTACTCACTGCACTACTTTTTTCAAAAAGCAACACGATGCTTTACGGAAAAAAAACAATAATAAAAAACAGTGACTATGGTAGTTTTGTTAACTGTTCGTTTCGATAGATAATCGCGCCAACAGCAATCACGAAGGCAACCAAGCGCAAAAAATTAAGGGTGTTTTTTGAAGATCTTTCGACAAGGAAAATAAAGTCACGGTTTAAGTACCTTAAACACGAAGCAAAGTAATTCATTTTAAATTATGTCCTTTGCTTTCGTTAAAAATGTCTTGTCATTAAAAATTACTAAACTTTTAAAAAATTGCTAATTTGGCAAGACATTGTAGCTTTGTGCTTTGAAGTAAATTTTCAAGGATTAAAAAATTTGATTACAAATAAATTTCAATCCTTTTCCCAAAGCTATGGCCTTTCTTCATACTAACAATTTAAGCTATGCATATTGCAAATTATGTCTTATTGCAACAATGCCACTGCAATATGCTAAAATAAATTATTTTTTTAATGATTTTGGATATAGTGAACCATCTCTTATAGTAAAGTCACTGCTATAGTTCGTCAGACAATTCACTGTATTAAGATCTGACTGTAGTATGTGGCCCCTTAATACCACAAGGAATATTACTGCCTTTAATATGCGTAAAAGTTTGGGTTGCTTTCGGATGCTTCCATGTAACGAAAAATTCGGATTTCGATATAACGTAGGATCCAATTTCCATATAACAAATTATCCCATTTCCAGGGACAATATTTAAGGATTCGCAAGGATTGAGATCATGCATGGGTAAAATTGCAAAAGCAATTGTAAATAATTTGTTCTTTATTGAAATTTTCACCTCAAGCATTATGATGAATGTGGGTTGGTGATAATCTCTGTGTAGAGATACAAATAAATGCTCTTAACCTATTTATCTTATGTTATCTTGTAAACTTAATTATATTACTATCAGTTTATGAGACTTATATTTCTTATTTTTTGGTTAATAAGACGTTAAAATATGTTATTTATAAGGCGTAGGATTGAAAATAGACACAAAAAATATTAAGTGCTTTTCTAATACCAAAATTAAAATGATACGCATTAATTTTATTTAGTCTTTTATGATTTTGTTTTTATATAACCATTAATTAAAGTCAAATATGTACAAATGGAGTTGACGTTTTTTATAGTGGGTCACGGGTTTTTATAGCGACGTCGAAATATGTTATTGCTTAAAAATAGGATTAAAAAAGTAGGCAAAAAAATATTGAGTGCTTTTTAATGCCAAAAAAAAATTATAGCATGAAACTTTTTATCTGGAGGTGGTATGAACTCCAACCAGCTTCGAAATCGATGGGTACCAGCTGGTCTATGAAGTAATGACAGATAATGTATAGTTTGTCTATAGTAAGAACTCCCTCCACCACAAAGTCTGAGGCCGTCTAATGCTATGGAAACAAGAATAGCGCATTTCAGGGAGGGTAGCTTCTCTTCACTCTAGAGCTAATACAATAGACCGACGAAAAAGATTCCCTTTCACTCGCCGACCCAAGCCAAGACATGTCCTAAACAATAACCCCGCACCCCGATTTAAAATAGTTATACCTGGTTACTATAGTCACCCCCAAGGGTTCAGATGAATGGCTAGGGGAGTTCTTACTTTAGACAAACTATACAATGCTGGCCCGATTTCCCGTTGTTCTTGGAATTGTGAGACCTTAGCCTCCTTCGAGGACAACTGGCTGTTATGAGACTGTTTTACTTTGATCTTGGGTGAGTTTTCAAATCAGGACACAGCTTAGTTAGGAAAATGTACAGCAGCTCAGAAAACGGTCATAAACTTTTAATTCTTCCTTAATGAGTATTGTTCCTTTTTTAAGGAAAAAAGTATTGAATCTAAGTAAATTCGTAATATGATATTGTCCATTTGGATAAATAATTTGGTACATTTTATTAAATTGGTCTTTTTTTAAGGGGTTTTAAAGGTCAACAGTTGTTCTTACAAGGTTGCCACGAGTGCTTAAAATTCATAATAGTGGAAGTAATTTTCAGTTGTAGGAATTTAGGTTTTTAAAACTCACTTTATCTTTCTGAAAACGAGGACAACTTTGAAAATTTATAAAGAGGCTCATCACTTTAGCAGAGAAGAAAGATATATTTTCTGCGATTAAAAACACTGAAGTAATATCAGTTCCCTTATTTTGCTTCAAAGTAACTTTGTTAATCCGATACCGATGCCAATTTTAATACTGAATTCTGCGTTACCTAATTCGTATGAATACTTTTCGAGCCACTCGCCACGTTCAAAAAAAATAATAATAACTGTAAACGGAATTGAAGAAAAACGTAATATCCATGTGACTAAATTTGCAAACTAAATTTAGCCAAAATTTAGAACAGTTTAGCTACATCAGCTAAAGAAATTTTTTAGAGAGGGTTATCAATTTGGTAGAAATTTATTTTTTACTTGGAGTGATATCGGTTTCCCATATTTTGCATCGAAGTACCTTTGTTAATGCTCCATATAATTTAATACCGAATTTTGATAACTCATTTTCAAATGTAAAATTGATTCTACGTCCTTCTCCAGCTTTTCCGTTATGCTAAAGAATCTCTTTTTTTTGGAAAAAAAATTATAACTTTAATTATTTTATTGCTCATTAAAAAATAAAATTTAGCAACTTGAAAAGATTTCTATGTTTCTGTTCTTTTACTGATTAGTATATGAGTTGCTGTGTTACTAGTAAGGAAAAAAGGATAAAAACGCCAAAATCGGTTTAAGTTTGTTTCACAAAAACAAGCTTTGAGGGGTTCTAATAATTGCCTTTTAACTCCTGTCTGTTTATACCAGCAATCAAAAAACTTCAGTGGTGATGCGTTAAATTTCGATATCGTTTTTGCTCCTTTCNTTGAAAAACATGAAACTTTCAAAAAGTGTCCACACTTTTGGCCACCACTGTATATATTATGAGTCATTGCAGAATACCTTCACCTTCTATTTACCCATGTTCAATTAAATCTAAAATGCCTTAGAGTCTACTGTTCGTTCATTTCAAAATAATGTTTCTTTTTTACATGGTTTTTCTACATGCTTTCATGATCAAGTACACTTGATTCTGATTAGTGATTTAATCCACAAAATTATTTTTATGTATCGATTTCGTAATTTTTGCTGCAAAGTTTTACAAAACTTCAAATGTATTTTACTAAAACAGATGCTAATGAAAACGGAGCAATTCGCTCGTTAAATCGGGGTGCTTCTTAAGAGGACGCTATACCGAGCGAGAAACTTTTCATCTGGAATTTTGTTTTGTCTCCATTTCCATTATCCATACTGTTGTATTTAATGATGTTTTGCAATCTGATATATTGTAAATTAAGTCTTGAAAAAAATGAGTTTAGGTAAACCATGAAGTTTCAAATGTTAAAAAATTATTTTAACACTTTCAAAATGTAAACAAATTATTGGAAGAGAACTTCCCTTTAACGTTATTCTCAGTAATCCTTTCTTAATTTGTTTGCAGTTTGATAGTTTGAAAATATTTTTCAGCATTTAAAGCTTTATGGCTATTCTAGGTTTACAAGAATTAATTGCTTCTATACTTTAAAATAACTTATGGAGGTGATAGAGAATTTGTCGTGACAAGTTCCTCCCGTGATATATCGTCCTCTTAAACTACAGCCAGTCAAAATTTTCAAAAATAAAAGCTATAATAACTTAAAATACTCTAAGAAACGCTTAAAACGTGGTTACATTTTATTGTTACGTGTTTGTACAAAGGAAGGTGGGAATGTACTAGCTTAGCTTATGATTTAACTTCGTGCTTTCTTTAGAAGATTATTTAGCGTACAGAGAAAATAGAAAAACAGCATAATGACTTGCGATCGAAAGATCAGATTTTAATGTATTAAAATGCAATCTTTATGGTTTGAAGATCTTACCATAAGTGTACTAATTAATTATTGCAGGCAATATTTTAAATTATGAAATCAAACTCAAAAACGTACTTTCTCTGAATAGCTCAATCTGGATAGCATGGTTCCAATAGTTTTTTCTGGACAGTGGTCGAAATTTTGGAATCCGTAACGCTAATTTCACTTAATTTTTAGTTTTTAGTCAATGGGGGTTTTAAGTTTCGTTAAATCTTTCCTTTTATTTATCTATTTTTTTTAAATTTTAATTTTCGTAAGGGAAATCCTCAGAATTGCAAAAAAGAAAAAAAAAAAACGTGAGGTCTTAATAAGTCCTAAGAACAGATAAATCTGGAGAAAAAAAAAGAAAAAAACTAATTTTGAAAATCGGTTTCGTAAATTCTAAAAAAAAATTTAAAAAAAAATAAGAAAATAAAATTCTCGTCATTACGAACCGTATCCATCTTGCATATTCCGTTGAATAGGAATTTAATTAAATAATGTTAAAAAGAAAATAATATTAAAAAGAAAATAATGTTAAAAGAAAATAATGTTAAAAAGCAAATAATATCCCTTTGTTTTCTTATACCGCCGCCCAAACTTGAGGTAGTATTAAGAAATGGCGTTTTTCTCACAAAAGGCGAGGAAAACGAAGGGGATTGTTGGTACCAAGGCTCTCTAAAATGAACGTTGTGTCCCGGTAGCAAGGCATTGGGAGCCTATTCAGCGCCTTGAAGGTGGTCCGATTACTCCGATTGGGTCGCGTCGTCCGAAAGCTTGACCGCTACTTGGAATATGGTGCTGCTATGCTTATTCTTCTTCTATGCTTCTACATGTTGGTTGCTCATTGGTTAGCCTGCATCTTCTACAGCATCGGTCGAAGTGACGCAGAAAATGGTGTCTCCTACAGCTGGTTATGGAAATTAGGTAACATCACTCAACAGCAATTCAACTTCAGTAGAATCACCAATAGAGAGACTGTTAAGTATGAGCTAATTGGTGGTCCACCAAGAGGTACTATGTACATCACGGCACTCTACTTCACGATGACCTGTATGACCTCTGTTGGATTCGGCAATGTTGCTGCTGAGACAGACAATGAAAAAGTGTTTACCATCTGCATGATGATAATTGGAGGTAGGAATAATTCATGACATGTATTATCCAGTTGAACGCTAGTACGGTTCCCATCTTGCAGATTGTTCTGAAGATAAATCACCTTCTTACATTTTAAACAATACTCACCGAAGAATCGTCTGATTACCTTCTTTTACCACGACATAAAACAAATCTATATCTTTATTCTGAGGGATCTTCATATGTAAAGTGGACGTAAGAAAGGTAAAAACGTCACTTTATACACACGCGAGATGCAATGACACATTGTAAACCTTCGGAAGATTTCTTTAGATATGTGTGGAGTAATGTTATGCATCATAAAAATTCATCCAGGTAAATTCAATGATTATCTTCCAAAATACTAAGTGAAAATAAATCTATCAAATCTTATCCGGAGGGAATAGAGGGAAGTGGGCGGGAACATCCTATCTTTTCACTCGCAGACTTCAAGCATCCACCATGCTAAAAGAGACCATACAACCTATTTGCACATACAAGTCATAATCATTCACTCCTAATTTATGCATTGAAAAATTTGCTGACACGTCAAAAGGTAAATCTTTATTTAATCATGGCATTAATAGCATTTCGAAACTGCAAGATAGAAACCGTACTAACGCTCCATTTAGATCTGAGTGGAGTAGGTGTATTTTTGAATTCTCTTCATGAAATAAAAGCAGTTGATATTTTTTATTTTCTTGATATATTTAAGGTATGTTTTTCTTTTCGCGTAAACCTATTAAACGTGTGTTCTTTAAATTTTGCGAAAATTAGATATTCACTAAGTTATAGGGGTCAAAACTGGGAATCCTCTGGATTCTTAAGAAAAACACATCCATTAAGAAGTGGCAATACATTTTGTGAAGCGTGGCAGTTAGTGTTATTTTGTGTTCTACTTCTTCAACACTAACAAATAAGATATAAATACTCACAATTGGCTTTTGCCTCAAAGATTATTAAAAAAAATTTTGAAATAAGGCTAATTTCTTAGACTTTCGCCGTCAAAATTTACTTGTGCCAACAATTTACCACAAAGGTAAACACTTCTTTGAATGCAATCTCCTAAGTAAAACCTTAAAAAAATCAAAATATGTATAGTGCACTTTTGGCGTGACTTTAAAATAATCTTAAAGTCACAAAAACTCAATTCAGAGCAAGCACTTACATAGAAAACATAATATCATTTGTCTAGATAGCAGCGTGTAAGCTTTACCCCCTTTGCTTCCTCAGTCAATTCTAGATGGAAACTAAAGCTCAACTCAAGGTGTTAACATACGATATATTCATATTGCAGAGTGAGCACGTGATATACTCACTTCAAGGAAAGGGGAAAGACATGATACTACCCGTACTTATCTGTAAAGCAGGGATTGTTGAAACTAAACAGAACAGTGCAGTTGATCTAAAACCTAATTGTTTATTAGGGTACGAATCTTTTGTAAACGTATAATAAGCTGCACTAAATATAATTTCTATAACTGAAATGACCTATAGCTAAGACTAGTTTTAAAACATAAGACATAAGAGAGTTGACATATCGAAACAAAATTATTTACTCAGACGCTTAGAATTAACAACACCAAATCACGCCAGTAAGGTAGATCCTTTTTCTTGATTATATAAGTGTACATAATTTAAAGTTTGTCTAATCTAGAAAATGGAAATAATTTCGATACAATCAAGGTATTCGGTCTCCCCCCACTATCTGGATTCTGGTTTACCCCATTCTACCATGCATGCGCGCATATATATATATATAT